TTAGTGTTTAAGTTCAGTTCAGTTCAGTTTAGCTCAGTTCAGTGTGATTTAAACATTACTGAGAGTTCAAACACTGAAGAGCAAATTCATTGATGCGTAGCTCTACCAATCCTGAACCATGCGAGGCAGTGGCGACAGCGGAGAGGGAAAAAAAACTTCACCTGATGGGAGTGAAGAAAAAAATCCTTGAGAGAACCAGACTCAGTTCGGCACGACTATTTTAATTTCTCCGCTGGCCAAAAGTCTTTTGCAGAGCTTACATTACCTGAGAACAAGTAATAGATTCAAAAGACCAGGTCGGGGAATATGTCGTTAGATATAGACAACAAAACAAATTAAATATCACGTTTAACAAATATAGTGAGATTAGATCCAGCGGTAGATCCTTGATGAACAGTTTGACATGCACAGCTCTCATATGGGTGGACGTGCTCAAAGCACACTGCAGTGCATGCCAGTGTGTGTGTGTGTGTGTGTGTGGTTACATGATGTTCGTTTTCAGTGGTGTAGTGTGGACGGAGAGTTGTCCAGAAACGCTGGGTGAAACGCCTGTGTGAACGCGGATCATTTTCATTCTAAAACGTAGTTTTTAAAACATATTAGTGTAAACGGGGCTTAAACATTTCTGTATAACAGGAGTGTCAAAAGAATGTTTTTGTTCATACAACAAATTTGAGAAAACAATTGAATACATTTTACAATATAACAGTATGATAAAACATTTCAGTGTTCTGCAGCACTTTCCTTCGGAGCCTGTGTCTATTACAATGGACATCACATGTTAGCCCATGTTTTTGTAATTCTTCAGCATTTCATCTAATTTAAAGGTGCTGTATGTGAGTTTTTCACTCTTCTAAAGCATAAATAGCATACTATGTTTGCAGATATTAAAGAAACATGCTAAGTGACAATTCTTCTTTTATCTGTAAAGCAATGCTGAAGTTAGATACTCTGCTTTCAAAACGTGTCTTCCATGCCGGAAAGCTGTCTTTGTTTTGGTCATTTTAACCGGCTCAATTCCAGCTTAGCCAATTATATTTCAGCACCCTGAGTTGGTGAAAAACATCGTAATTCATTCACTCATTCAGAAAGGCATGCGCTTGTGACTGAAATGCGACCTCCGGTGGACAGTAGCAGAGACGCAGTTTCAGTTCCACACGAGGTTATTAATTAGCAAATAATATAAATATTATGAACGTAAACATTAGGTGAGCAGGTTACCCTGTGTCCTAACAACACGCTTCGTGACGAATGATTTGGCTGTTTGCACCAGATGAAACACCACAGAAACTTGAACACAGCCATTTAGAAGCACAGAATATGCACTCACTGATGGAATGATAAGGTTTAAAATCTGAAATGTAGATGCTCAATCACACATAAGCGTTTAGTTCTAGGGTTCAATTTCAAACAGTTTATTTTCGTTTCTAGATTTGAGGTGAACTATCTGCTGATGCTTTCAATGGTACAGAAAGGGCATCTAAACTCACATTGTTAGCATTTAACTGAAAAAAAGCACATGAGCTGAACCTGAGGTTTTCCATATTAATTAAAATATATGTACATGGCACATACAGGGCCTGTGTTTCCTTTACAAATACTATTGAGAATATTACATCTATATTCTAAAACATAACTACTTACAAAAGCTAAAACTATTCTAATCTCATATATAAAACATATAAATAAATCAATAATGAGGCGATTTATTATACAATGAAATGTAATATTTATTATTCATAAGGAAATAAAATCCTACTTTTATAATAATATTAGAGATTATTATTATTATTAAGCAGGACATTGTTTATTTTTTAGAAAAGTCTACTTTTTTACAATTTGACACTTGTAATCCGCTGCTGAAATGTGCTACCCAACAGGCTCGTGTCATATACAGTACAGATACTTAATAAATAAACCACTATAAATTAAAAGCATTAACGTATGCTGTGTTTTTTGTTTTCACAAGAGTTGGAGACGTAACGTAAATTCCGCTTTTAAATAATAGGTCACCTATAGCTTTCGCCATGAGCCATGGCTGTGTTCAAAATGACATCAATGTTTTCAAAGTGCACTGCGAAGGGAGCACAACTGTAAACATGAACTGTAAAAATACTTTGAAAGTAAATTACACCTAAGAGTGATGACTTTTTTTTTTAATCATTCCAAGTTTAAATGTTAGAATGCTCTAAATGAATAGGGCATAGGGAGGATGACTGGGAATAGCACACAGCCAGGAACTATGCTTCTAACGACAGCTCCAGAGGTGTAGTTGCAAGCATACAAGTTTGAGAGGCAGTTTGCGAATGTTTGTGGGAACGAAAGATTTGGGAAGCACCAAATCAACAAACTATGTTTGTAATGATGCAACTTATGACCTTAATTGGCTAACGATGGTTTTGGGAAATGCACCCCAGTGTAGTTAGATGTTTGTTTCTGGACACTGCCATCAAAATGTTCCCTGAATTACAGAGAAATGAGATTGAAGGAGAAATTCAGCTGAGTTGTCGTTTTACCTCATGCAGAAAACGTTGCTTGAAGATATGAGCAGAGCAAATTTAAAATTTATTATGAATAATAAATAATATTTATTAATAATTTTTTAACATTCCATGCTAGCATTTACATTAAAATAGATTTCAGTTTTGAGCAGACTCTTAAATTTTATGCACAATTAATGTGTTTCTGTGGCTTTAGGGAAGGGTTGGGCTAAACTTCCGAAAGTTTCCTTATTATTTTTCATTATTCTATTTATTTAGTATTTTTGTATTACATGAAGCTTTTCAGTTCTGTAGCTGATTCTAGCAAAACACTTCTTCCTGTTCAGAATAAACAGACAAGAAACCACTTGGGATTTGTTGCTTATTCCTGTTGTACCGAAACCGTATCAAACTGTGACCCGAAAACCAAGGTACGTACCTAATTAATTTTTGTGTACCATTAGTTTACACTGATTGATGATACATGCTGAACATTAAACAGACTCAAAGCCACAGTATGAGAAATTACCCCATAACATACTTCATGGTGAACTAAGGTTTGATTTCAGGACCAGTGTTTTTTTTATTTTTATTTGTTATTTATTATTATTATTATTTTTTTTAACGTCTTCTGACTGTAATTGTGTTGTGATCTGTCTGAGGGGAAGACTGGATAAAGTACATATTCTCACAGAAAAGGAGCTATTTAAATTTCTGATTGGGCTAAAGTATCCCTAGTCTGTGTTGCCCAGTCACTGTTTTTGAACACCAGCAAGCCGAATGGAATACTCCACATGTTTTACGACATGTGAAAATATAACTCAAAGAGGCATTTCTGGCATCATAACACAATTTAATTTTCCAGCCAATGTGGGGCTTCAGCCATTCAGACAATTCTTTGATCCATTTAAATTCTAGTTGCTTGTTTTCTTCTGTGTTTTAGGTTATTACTGTCACTTTAAACTGTTTGATATCATTTT